TGACAAACTAACAAGGTGACTTGTACAAAGATGAATGTGTGACTGGTCACATACTCCAGTACGCATGCTCCCATGCAGATGTTCATAACTGGGGCTGTACATTAATGAGTCACTATTACATGGCCACAGCATCATGGCTGAAAACACATTCATTACACAGATATGCAGCCTTCACTGACACAACAAGTTTGCATCAGCACAATCTTGTTTGCATGAATGCATCATGACCCAGCATGAACAGAGGGCAGAAAGGCTTCAAGAGAAAGAACCACTGTGAAGTCAACAGGAAGTCGAATCACTCATAGCTGTTTGTAAATTATTTTTATTCAGTATTATGTAATTATGAACTGCTCTAAAGTAATTTCTACCATAATATTTCTTTTTGTCACGTGTCTGCGGCGGCAGACCCTGTATTTATTTCAGAGGACTCAAACACAAACGCTTGAGGCAGGAAATATGAGAAACAAAGGCAAAATAACACAGAGATAAACTAACCAAAAACCTAAAGTGGGGAAAAACTAAACAAAGATCTAAACACAGAGAGCATGGGAAAACTACAGACCATGAACACGGCAAGGAGAGCAGACACCGGTAGACGAACAGACGACCTGACAAGGAACAAAGGAAGACAGGACTTAAATACACAGAAGGGCAATGAGGGAAGTGGAAACACCTGGAGAACACAGCTGATACAAATGAACATGACACCACAGGGGAAGCAAAACTAAACATACTGAACATGGAGCTCAAGACTATCTAGGGGTCAAATGACCCAGAACCATGACACTTTCTTTTTTTTTAAACTTGGCAGCTGTATTACTGCGCAGCACGAGGCCTGCGTATCCCTGTGATCAGAGGCTCATATGCATAACAGCGTGACAGCTGTTTGTAATGTTTGCTAGCTGCATGCCCTTTTTTGGTTGTAGAAAGCAAACAACTTCTGCATGAAACTGTTTACAAAAAGGCTTCTGGATTTTCTGAGCAACTTTGTCATGATTTCTGCAATGTTGTGTGTCAACTGTGCTTTTTGGCCCTTCGTGCTCCACAAAGCTCTACTAAACTGGGCACCTCACATCAAAGCCATCTGAAAGGATAAATAGCGCTTCAAGCCAGTAGAAATGTATGTGAAAGTGATTTAGTGGTGAACTTTACCTTTAAAGTTGCATTATTTCCAGGACCTAAAGGGCATGATTTACATCTTAAAGCTGCACAGGCTGATGGAAATTACCTGTTGTGTAGCTTTATTTTTTGTTCTCTTTAGTCTCTTTAGAACTATCCAGGAACAGTTTCATCTTTGACACATTTGCTGCATTTATAAAAACGTTACTCATGTGGGTACGATTTATAGATATTGAAGAAGTACACATAATACAGTACATACAGGAAACGATTCCTCTTTTATTGCCTGCAGGGACGTTCAGTTTGTGGTGTCACCCGAAGTTTGAGGACCGCTGTCACTCTGTGGTGGAGTTCATCGAGCGAGCCATCATGCACTCCAAAAATGGGAAATTCCTCTACTTCCTCCGCTCCAGAGTCCCAGGTGAAACAACACAGGCTTTATATCAACACCCAGCGCCAACTGATCAAAAAAACATTTGAATCACCCCTTAGTGAGAAGTGCCTGAGAGACCGGGAGGAGAGGAGAGAATAGCTGTATATGTGTTTTATTTTATGTCTACATTCAGGTTTTGCATCATGCTCATGTGAAGGTATCTGGTCATTTATGTCTTACAGTAAATTTGCACTAGTTTGTGTATACTGCAGTGTAACTGTATGCCATTGTATCCTTTGCATCCACCTGTGCGATTTATACACATATCATTGAGCAGTGAGCAGATTTACCCCTCATGCCAACACAGATGTGATGCATGTGGACCTCAGGCCAACCTATATCACACAATTCACTGTAGTTTACTACATCACACCTAAATGACAATAAGTAAGGTAGCATCTTCTGATTGGAAAATATATCTGTGCAAAATGTTATCAGTAACTGAGTCAGATTGAAACAAATCCTTTACTGTTATATTTATATTAAACTAAATCTTGAGCTAGAAATACTCACCGAGCACCAATTTCCTGTGGATTGCTCCTCTACTAGTCTAGCAAATACTTTATTTACACCTGTTTGAATAATCTTTGCTAAACATGACAGAATCAGGCTGCTTAAAGAGCCTATAATCTATACATTCACATGCATCAAATGTGTGAGGAGTCTTGTAGTAACGGACCAGCTGCATCTGCTTCTACCATGGGCTTTAAGGAGCTTTATATTGAATTTCAGCTCATTGCTTCCCTGTACAGCTACAACTCTACTGTTTTATTTAATTCCTATTCCCACGATAGTATAATTTTCAGCCAGAGCAAAAGCTCCAAAAATCTATTGCTTTTAGCAGCTAAAGAGACGGATACTTCCCTCAGGCGTCTGTAGAGACCAAAAATGGAGCTCAAAGAGCGCGAATACTTGACTCACATGCAACAGGTTAGTTGAAAGGATCGCGCCACAGAAATGATCTTCATTTGTGAGTTGTGTCGAAGTGGTTGAAGCGGTGGATGCCTATGCTGATAGAGAAGTATATGTACAATTAATCCCTGTAAACTAGAAGTTCATACTTCACATTGCTCTAAGCACTGAGTTTCACACAGTTTTATCTACGTCTGTGTCTGCGTGATGCCAGTGAAATCAGATATCCTGTTTACTAAGAGAAGCTGACTTAAAGGGGAAGAGCCGAAGGAGAGTTGGATGAACTGATACACCATCCCAAAGCCATGAAAGTACACAATAAATAAGGATTAACTGTAAATAAAATGAAATTGCTGCTCTAGTAGAGTCCAAGAATAAAAGTACGAAGCTGGAAACTAGCATCTCTTTTAAGAAAAGTCCTGCAAGTCTCAAAACAAATAAAACTATGTTTTTGTAAAGAATTTTTGGCCATTAAGCTACAGGCGCAACAGTTGACAAGAGGACACAAACTCGGTGAAGGACGCCTACATGTTAGTCACTGGGAAAGAGCAAATTAAAATGTTTCACTGAGTAAAGTGTTTCTTTCTGTCCCAGGACTACCTCCCACTCCGGTTCAGCTGCTGTATCCTGTGTCTCGCTTCAGCAACGTGAAGTCACTTCAACATCTCTGTCGCTTTTGCATCCGACAAATAGTCCGCATCGACCACATCCAAGAGCTTCCACTGCCCAGGTACTCAGTTTCAACTGGGAAATATACTTGCTGAAATATACAGGAGTGGAAAGCCAGCATCCTGAATAATGCTGCTGTTTTCCAAGGTGTTGGAACGGTTTTAACAGACTCTTTATTGATGGGTTTTCACTTATAGATCTTACTGAGCTTTTAACCTAGCAACCTCCAACCACATAATTCAGGTAGAGAAAAAGGTGGTACATTTTGTTTTTCATAAAAACAGTATGTGTTAGCATAGTTTCATTGGTATCCAAACAAAAGCTGCGATATTTTGAAAAATCCTGGATTGGTTTTCATTTATTCTTTGTGCTGATGTTTAAAACTTTTGTGTCTTCTGTTCTGTTTCTTTATCTCTACGTTCAGTAATCCAGCTTTGGATTTTGATACTGATTTTTTGCCTGTATTTTCACCTCTTTCCAGACCGCTGATCTCCTACCTGAGTAAGTTTTATTACTATGACCCTGAGGAGGAGATGTACCTGTCAATCAAGAGCATCCGGAGGGTAGTGGGAGTAGGGCAGGAGGCCGAGTCGCAGACGTAGCAGCAGAGCTCTTCTCAGCTCGAGTGAGTTAGTTTATCAACAGCATGCTGTTGATTTCTAGAGTGGTAAATAGTACTGTTCTAATCCAACGATGTTTTGATCCTGTGACTGAGATGCTCAGGTGAAATCTTAATATAAAGCATTAATATGCATAGTTTTACCCTCATCTCCAGGTTTTGCTGTGGAGGACTGTACTGTCTGTACTGGTCTACCAGTCTTCCAGCATCGGCCAATCAGAGTCCCTGGAAATCTGTGTGTCCAATGTGACTGGGATGGATCCTCCTATGTGTGGATTTGGACTAATGAGAGGAATGATGTGTGCTTGCAGTTGAATCGTGGTGCATATGCAGTGGACTCAGTGACTTCTGAGGAGGGACTGTAGAGATACGCTCACCTGAAAACATGTCGACAGGCACAAAAACAGAGCCTGAATTATGAACTCAATTTCCTGAACCTGTTGAAATGGACTTTTAAAACACAATGCACTGGTCAATTTGTACAACTGTTGTTTGCTGCCATTTCCTTGTTTTTCCTTCCATTTTGTCAAAAAAAGGGATTTTGGATTAAAAGATGTCTTCAGTACCGGTATACACACAGAGGCAGGGCCACAGAGGCCTGTCAAATCATTTGGTGTCTTCATCATCTGAAACTGAACCCCCAAAGTTGGACCCTATGAATCAGCTAAAAAAGTTTTTTGCTTTTTTTTTTTAAATCCGTGAGTAAATTTCTTCATTTTATTTAAACTCATCTAATGTTATATGACACAATTTGAGGAACTCCTCAAGTTGTATAAGTTGTATATGGAATATATTAAGAGTATTGACTGTGGCTTTCACTTGCAGCAACCAGCACTGGTTATTTTCACTATTATACATTAATCAGTGTGCCAGCTATTTTTTAAAAGTGGCAATAGGCATTTTTCGCTATAACCCAACTTTCTAAACTGGACTCCTTGTTTTTAAAAAACAAACAAACACCCACTTCTATTGGGTAAATAGCTAGCCAACTGTTGCTACTTTATGTGAACCTACTATGAGCTTTGAGTGCTAAAACCCATTGAGTTAATTCTGAGATACAAGCTGTTTTGCTTTAAGTCTTCTTTGTCTTTGGCCTCTCAACAATATAGGCACAATATGATTGTTCTACTGTCCGCGATTTCATCTGTGGTAGCTACCAGAAACCAAAAGTGCTATCCTCATTTTGTTTGTGTTAGCAAGCCTATGGTCCCCAGAGATTTACCTGTTGGTAGTCAGAGCTGCTGAGTGTAAGTGTTGCTTATGAGCAACCATTTAGAAGGCAGTTGGTATGCTTATTCTATAGGCATTTCAATATATAGTCATCACTGGATGATTTTTTGTGACGTTTTGTGTCATATTGTTAAAAATATCTATTTAATTGAAATAAGAACATGGTAGATGGTTTTGATCTTCTTAAGACAGCATCCTAAACTAATCTGGGTCCACATACTGGCCACCTTGTTAGGTACCCCTGTTTAACTGCCCATTAAGACAAATATCTAAACAGCCAATCACATAGCAGCAACTTGAATGAATTGAGACATATAGACATGGTCATTATCACCTGCTGAAGTTTAAACTGAGCATCAGAATGTGGAAAAAATGCGATTTCTTTGTTGGTGCCAGACAGGCTATCTCTCACACAACTATCTCTAGGTCTATCTCACAGCCCATTGTTCCTTCAGTGGGCTGGTTTCAGTCATTATGCAAATGTACTGTTTATAAGATTGGGGAAACCTG